CTCAATCTATTAGCTTAAAAATAAGGTTAAATACAAGTCATCCCCTACCGAGAGAGGCATGCTAACACGAAAAGAGCACGATTGTTTGCGCAGGTGCATCGGCACGGCGACTTCTTTGTTCTTTAAATTATCGCCTGCTGCACTAAAGTGTACAGGAATGTTGACTAACCTTTTAACTTGTTTCCTTCACACATCATTAGATTTTACACCATTTCTTCGTGCTATGATAGAGACATAACAAATCGTTAAGATAAAACGGTCCAGTCACAATCGAAATTGTATTGATGTTTATAATAAATTATATAATAAAACCGAAGGAAGATAGCCGGCCATGTACCGTTTTAAAAAATACTGTATACACACCACATCACACCATCAATTTATATAAGTACACAATAAATGTAATAATGGGTTAATATCCAGATCTAGTCACACTTGACATTGTCTCCTAATGTGTGTTCATTTTGGCGTTTATTGTCAAATCTATACAAACGATAACTTAAAAAAAAACGATCTAGCTTTAACTTTTTAGTAAGTATTAATCTCCTCTGTGATTATTTTGAATATGAATGCACTGTAAAATTGATAGAAAAGCTATCGGTATACCTAATCAGTACTCCTAAACAAGACTTAGATGCCACCTACTGAGTATGTACCGGCTCGGTCGCACACCAATGATATCGCTAATTTAGAAACATTAATATTTTTCATAACAATGTAATGACACCGTCGAATTACCCCACCCAGTAGACTTCTAACGTGAGTTCCTTACACATTCAACATAACACTATAGAAAATACTAGTAAAGTTACTAGATAGCTTTAGTTTGGGTCAAATTTTATAAGCTGAAGTATTATTGATGATAATCCTGACAGCAATCATTGTAAGTTAAATAAACAAAAACACAAATTTATCTGGCGCTCTTACCACACAATTAACATCTAAGATAAGTGTTGACGATTCTCCATACATTTGCTGACAGTGTCTGTTAATAACTTTGGCAAACAACCTTCGCACAAGCAGCTAAAAGAACCTTTATTAGGCGAACAGCAGTAACAACTTTTGCCAATATGAAAAGATTAACTTAAAACAGCAAGGGTTGTACAAAATAAATATCATACTAAAAGTTAGTAACAGCTGAAGCATATTAAAAACGTACTATTACACAAAAGTTATAAACAATCGTAGTGTATTTCGAAGAACTTTTAATGTTTATCTGTCTACACGTGTTTCATGTAATGGTGATAAGTATCTAAACAATTGAGAAACTTTAAAGTTTTTTTTAGCGAAATAACCTTGTACAGAGTTAAACATAAACATTACAATCAAGTTTAGTGCGCTTCAATAGACGTACCCCTGTATCATTAGCTACACTGTACTATCTTGGTGATGTTGAAGACCTGATATCGTCGTGACATTATCAAATTGACTTATATTATCGTTTATTATTGTGATTCACAACAGGTATTGATTTCATTCATTATACCTATGACGTGTTATCTCGCCATTCAGATATTATATTGAGTACGAGTAAGTTTCTCTATGCTTTTCCCATTCTATATTATCATGTTATAGGATACATTATTGGAAATATAATCATATTTCTATGTTTAGCTTAGTCTTTTACACTTAAAACTCATTAAATATTTTATAGAATTTTTTTAACCGACTAAAAAGACAGAGGTTCTTAATTTGATTATGTAGGTTTTGAGTTAACTTCGCCATTTGTGTATGTAACAATTTCAACATTAATTAAATTCGTTAGAAAAAAGGTTGATCCCATTTTAATTTAAAGCAAATATACCGCCTTTAAGTGTGGACAAGTAACATATGAACAATGCGGCTTCTTTCAATTTATATTTTTGTATTGCTTAATTTAACCATCAACAATTAATGTACTATAATAATATATTTTCTTATTTCGTAAGGTAATTGTAGTACCTACATAATTGTTAACACAGAAATTAATCAAGATAGAGCATACTAGTACAATCAGTGGCCAAAGCGCTGTCCTCCTAGTTAGGTTATAGAATAACCTGTATTAAGAAGTAACAGTCCCCAGTATTACAATATACTGTATTAAAATATTAAGTCATTTTTTACATTCATACATAATTTAATAGAAACAGTGTGCTTCTGTTGGTGTGTGTGTGTGTGTGTGTGTGTGTGTGTGTGTGTGTGTGTGTCGGTGTGAGTGTGTGGAAGTGTGTATGCGCGTGTATATTCGTGCTTGTGTTTTAAATGTCATACGTATAAAGATATTTTTCCGTTTTCTCGTAGGTTTTATCTTGCATTTTTGCAGTTGTAATATGACAGGTCGTTAATTAAACATTTTCGACTAGTTTTGTCGTATAAAGGTGGACCCAAGAAATAAAAGAATATTTTAGTGAATGCCGTCCTAGGATGTGGTACTACACAAACTTTGTCTTTTCGACGTTTGGTTATTTCCTTATGTGGCGTATTATAATGCTGGAGAAGAACAATTTGTTTAATACAATGTTGCCGAACATTTAGTACTTTACAAATTAGACATTGGTTGTCTAATTTGTCAGTAGGTACATAATTGGACGGAATGTCGCTACTTTCAAAATGGATCTATGAGCAATTTCTAGGGGTTTCATGGTGTACCAGGGACTTTCTTTCTAGGGTATACCTGGTTCCCCGGCTATTAGTACCCGAGACGGCATGCGGTTTTAGTCGGTTCGAGTCCGACATGCCACCGACAGGTGGTATCCGAGGGGATTTGCGCACGGAAAAAAAAAAAGAAGGGGTTTCATGGTAGCTTTAGCAGCACCCCCCAACATAAAATACAGTACATAATAATGGAGACACACGAGACAAAGTACGGATTATTGTGGGATTCGATATTCATCTTAGTGTTTTAAAAATATAAATTAATTTAGGCACTCTACTTACAATTAGTCTGAGGACATAACCTAACATAAGCAGGCTTAATCACTTCATCTATGTGCTACCTTTACAAAAGCAACTTAGTATGGCTTTTTGTAAAATTATATAGAAGGAAATTCATCCGTACTTTATTTCAATAAGTCTCCGTTTTTTATAGGTATTGTAAGCAAATATTTAGGAATTAGACGTATGAGTATTGCTAGGATACAAATAATACTCTAAAATGAAAATGGTCATCGTAGTAAAGAATTTCTCTTCGATTTCTGTAGTCGACCCCGAAGAAATCATAAACAACCAATAAAATTTTCGTTGTATTGATTGATTGTTTGTTGTATTGTTGTTCTATTGTTGATTTACCTATCTCCTGTTCTGCCTTTGGCGTACCTATTTGAGTCATTACTCTATTACAAGAGACAAAAAAAAGAGATACGAGAGAAAAAGCTTTAAAGAGACGTCGCATTGATCCAGTTCCTGTTTAAGATTCATGACGATGTTGTAAATGATATGATTACAAATAATTGAAGAGCTCTACATCCGCCTTTTGTTCCGAAATCAATATCAAATATTTATGAAATTATTAAAAATAAATTCGGGGCTTGCTTTAATTTCTCTTAATAATTTAAGAAGAAAGTTATTAGCACGTGTTTTAATAGTAAAGAAAAACTCGATAATAATCTCAAAGTTTTATTATTGAAACATTTTACCTTCTTTAGGTGTTTAGGCTATTTTCTTTATACTTTGAGGACAATTAACGAACGTCTGATATTATATTCTACAATTATTTAATATTAATGTTGCATGAAGTAAGAAATCGTAATTATGTTTTTTATACATACACATTCACTTGTTTCAAATGTGATCGTTTCGTGCGCTTACGCCTGTGTACAGCCGGACGATAAAGCAACAAAGATTAGTTTATGTGTTAATGGTAGACCTACAGTACCCTAAAAATAGAACAAAAGTGGTGTTTTTACGACAGACTACTACACGTCATGTGGCGTGCACACTGAATTACTAACTTTTATGTATGTGAATAAAATCTATTTATAATGTTGACGTCCGCGTCGGCCGCTCCACATTCTTATCTCGTCGCGATACTGAACTCGAGTCGAGTAATCTAAAGCAGATGCTGGAAGCTACCTACTTACTACTGACGAGTAGTGTAGGAATAACAGGCACTTCTTACTATCATCTAGTGCTGTTTAGATTTATTACTTGTTAACTTCTAACACTGAAATAACACACACCCAATATATTCGAAACAATGTGTAAGTAGGAGAAGATACAATCACTAATTTATTTTGTTACTAACTCAGTTTCAAACAGTTTTCAGTATGATATTATTATTTAGAAGAGTGGGATAATTTTTGATCAAATGTCAATTAATACTTAAAAAATAATTAATTTCAAAGTTAGGCACTAGTACCCGCATTTGATTAATTGTCAACAGTTATATAAATAATTTAATCGATCACTATAGTGTAGACATTTAGTTATAACTATAATAATAGTAGTAAGTGCTATAAAAAATCCATAGTCTTTTAAATAACAGGGTGATAAGCCTGTACCAGGGATTTTATTCCTAGGGTACACCTGCTTCCTCGGCTCGGCCCACTGGTACCCGAGACGACGTGTGGTTTTTAGGCTGTTCGAGTCTGACATAACCACAATAAGCCACTCAAAATTGTGCGAACATGCTTACATTTTCACTTACTGTCCTTGCGAGTTTTTCTCGCACTTGTCTGATTGTTTTATTAAACTACGAGTACCTCTTATATTGCAAGTGATTATATTGTCATCGTATATTCTCCTGTTTCCTGTTGTTATATTCCTATTCGTTTGCGTATCGTTTATCTAATTATTTACAAATTTTGTATACCTCGTGTTAGTTCTCCTCGAATGACTTAATAAGTAGAAGGCATGCCTTTAGCTAATTCTGTAGAAAATTACATTCTAGTATTTAGTACTACATGTCTATGCAACGACTAGAGATGATGAATGGGAGGTGTATACCAACTCCGTTTAACCTATGAGATCACCTACCTTTTTGGGTTATAATATACGTTATACATTTGTCAACAGCCCGTCCGATGATATCAGCGAGCCTCCCCGGCGAGGCGCTAGCCCAGCTGGGGCAGCTCGGGCAGCTGAGCCACCTGTATCCGCCGCCACCGCCGGCCGGTATGACGCCTGAGTTCCTGGCGCCACCGCCGCGGCCCTACCCGCGGTACCCACCGCGGCGGCCCCGGGACTCAATGGCTGCACCACCTGCACCAGCAGCACCACCATTCCCTTCAGTTCCTGGAGCTTATTCGCCGTTCCTTCATCACCCCTCCTACGCGTACTTATACCGGTCGCGACCTCAAGCGCCACCAACTAACTACCATCCCCGTCCCCGCGCTACCTCTGGCTTCGTACCACCTGCGCCGGCGCCGCATTCACCACCTGTATCTGCTCCAGCACCTGCTCCACCACCCAGAGAGGTAAATATCAGTTAGAAATAAAAATAAAACAAAAAAAAATATCAGTTACAAATATTACGAACCAATTACATCTTTTTAACCTGGCAGTTAGAAATATAAAAAGATAGGAGACGCAAGAGACAGGGCCTAATTTTTACAACTCGTATGGCTATCTGAATAACTATTTATCGAACCAGCTCTCGACTTCAGATTTTTGTTGATGTTACGGATGGCAGTCCATATTTAAATTATTTGACGTGTAATTTTTTTTTAACCAATAACGCTAGATTTACAAGCCTAAAAAAATCAGTCCAATTATGGGTAGGAATTTTATGATACGTGTACAACTAAAAGCAGCTCGTTAGATGTAGTGTATTCTCCCATAAACCGATCTCCGAAACTTATGAATCATGCACTCATTTCAGGAACCTCCAACTTCTCCCGAAAGAGGTGCGCCGGCACCCTACTTTTGTCGTGGTGCGCTTATCCGTCTGGAGGATGGCTCACTACGGCGGGTTGAGGAGATGCGTACGGAAGACTTTGTCATGAGTGCCGACAGAAGCGGCGACCTCGCTCTCACGCAGTGCACATTGCTGCGGCTTGACGAGCGAGGAGACCGACTCGCGCTGACCCTCACTTATGACAGGAACCGCTCACAAGTGAGTACTCACAACATACTAATTATATTATTTGATCATCATCCTCCTAACAAACTAGTTTGAAATAGTTTAAATTCTAAATTTACTGGATAGTTTATTTAGTTTTTCTACAGTTAAAATTAATATTTATGTAATATTAATTTAAAGGAAAAGATGGATTCTTTAAATTATGATATACAAATCTTTATAACAGAGTTGATTATCCTATGACATGACTTTTCTCTTAAAAATAATTTACCCTTAATAAGTAAGCAGGAAAAGCAACATTAACACAAGTTTTACCTAAGTATATTAAACGCCAGTCAGTACTGGCAGTATTAATAATGTCATTGTTTTCTGTAGTCTAATTTCAGAACAAGACTTATTAATATTTTAAATTATTTGATTAACAGATTATCTGTGTAGTGACGGATTAAGAATACGGAATATCACTACCCCAATTCATCCCATGGGTGTCGTAAAAACCGACTAAGGGCGCAAAACAACGCAGGACACCAGCACTGCAAAAAGAAGGAAAACTTGCCACAAACCCTATACCAACTCGTCTGGCCAGCGTGGTATAGTAGGCCAAAACTCCTTTCCTATGTCCAGCAGTGGGCTATTACAGGCTGCTGATGTGATGTGATGTGATGATGTGTAATTAACAGACTAGGGTTATATAACGAATGGGTTAAATAACGTTACTTCATGCAGATGTATTACAACTTTGTTTCGGCTTTTAAAGAAATGATACCGAATGTACTTAACTTGACTAACTGCTATAAACTTCGACTTAGGATGAAAAAGGCAATTATTTTAAGACCGTTTTTTTTACTTTTACAGGTTGAGCTGGAATCCACAGTGGAGCATCCGTTTTTCGTGTATGGGAGAGGATGGGCGTCGTGCAAGCCGGAGCGTACCATGGCGCAGTACGGCCTTCGCGTGCAGAGGTTGCAGGTCGGCGACGTGTGCGTGTCCCTGGTCCCTCGCAAGCACGCGACGGGCACGGGTAATACGGGCCTGCCCACTTCGGCACCGCCGCAAACACAACCGGAGAACCTCAGCGTAAAAGAGGACGCGCGAAAGCGGCGGTGGTCCGCCTCCGACTTGTGCGAGGACGACCTCCTTCCGTTAAAGAAGCGCTGAACTTTACAAATCTTCTCTATATGGACTCGGAAGGAGAAATGTCTAGATCCTATTAGGAACGCCTTCGTTGCAACTCCCTGTTCGTTTCTGACTTTTATTGTTTCTGTGTGCCGACTAAAGTTTATTTTACGAGTGGAATGGACAAGTGTTTATGAATGACCTCCCTCGTGCAGGGAACTTGTAGATAAATAAATTAATCGACCCCAGTGAGTTCGGTCGTGTGGCGGCATACACTTTTTATGTTAAGTTGTGCGGTTTCTGCAGCGATCGGCAGTCCATAATAGTACGCTTATGAAATTCTATTCGGGAACTCTAGGTGCTTTTTACTGTCGGGTGCTTCTGTACGCGTTCGTGTATGATGTTGTAAATATGTATGTAACTTAGGACAAGCTGAATGTTACGCTCCATGACTAACCTAATGTGTCACAAAACAATAGGTAAACGGTGTCTGAGGACGTCGTGAGTTCAGAGAATTCTCAATCTTATATGGTACATGAATGGTATAATATTACAAAATACGGCATACAAAGTAAAACGCTTTAGATATTCTTACACGGAAACTTCAAAAAATGTAATTATTTTTTAATATGAAACCGTGGAGTAAACAATTATTAAAAGTAAAGAGCACAAAAATAACAATGTGTATGTAAGTTTGTACCAGATCTTAAAGTAGGTTAGATATTGTGATAACCAATGAGATTTTAAATGCCAGCCTATGTGGACATGTGGCAATACATATATATAAACAACAACAAAAAACAAAATAAAAGGTACAATGAATGTTAGCTAATAGATAGTAGTGAAAGGCTGACGTGTGCTTAAACCTCGACTGATTTCTTTCTATACGAATATTGTGAATGATTATGTTGGTTTACGAAGACAACGCAGTCATGTTAGAGTTCCAATCCCCCCGATGGTTGTGACTGCAAACATATCCATGACGATCTAATTGTCGTAATTCGTGGTCCTCCAAGGGACAGCGCGCGGTGCGCGAGCCTCACCGAACTAGGGTGGCTAACTATCCTGACAAATAATTTGATCACGTTCAAATATAAATTATGAGAGATACTTATATATGGTAAACATAAAATATGTATAATGATCATGGTTTATGTACTAGATGTCATCTCTATTGCTTTTGACGTCCATGTGTACCTAATACACATAAACTTTTCTATGAGAAGATGTATACATAATAAACACACAGTCTGTGATATTTTGTAGTTATTGGTCAAAGTAGGAATGAAGTATTGCTTGAATAGAAGAAATATTATATGTTTTAGACTAATAAGTGCGTTATTGGTAAGAAAATGTACAGTTGTTGTATACCTACTCAAAAAGGAAACGCTAAAAAAACAAATTACAAACAAACTTAAGAGCATCTGTGATTGTGAATACATATATCGTTATAAATGTAACGACAAATGCATGGCCATATCAAAATCAAATTTATGTTATACACGTAATTACTAAGTAATAATTGTGTTTTGTTTCAAATTCAACTCCATATTGTGTTTGCATAATAAATGTATCTGGAACAACAAATTTTATCAAACGTTAACGAGTCATGGATCTTGTACCGCTTTTGACAAATACGACAAGAATCAGTCGTCGTGGCAAGTCGCCTCAAACGACGCGGCAGTGAAGATGACCAGGAAACGGACAGTCAGACTTGGAAAAAGGGTTAGTTTCATTGTACCGCATATGCTACGTGCTATTAATGTTTAATGTGTTAAATGATAACCGACAACCATAGGATACTGACACCGACTACGACAGATGGTGTTGTACAAAAGTTAATAATTTGTTGTATAATGTATGTAATTCTAGTTTTATCGTCTTTATATTAATATTTGTAATTGTAATGAAAGATCTCATTTTATTAATCGGTATTTTCTAACAAGGCGCTTTCATTAGATCATGACTAAGCCTACCTCACAAACTATAAGACTAGTGTCTCGCGACGGCGACGAGCGCGTGCAGCGCTGACGTCATGCGCGAGCCGGTCGCAATCAAGTCTAAACAAGATCTCAATTTGATGAAAATAAACTTTTGAAAAGACTGGGTCGCTTTACTGAATGTTGTGGGATAGTAGTTTCTTTGAAGATATTACTTAAATTATGAGATAGGAGCATTTATTCGTGGGCGCGAGCTCATTTTGTCATTAACTAAGAAGCTCCGCTATCAACGCTGGACAATCATTTAGTACAAAATTCCTTACAAAAAGTATTATTTCCCAAAATCCAAATTCAGAAAGTATTAATTTAATTTCGAAAAGGTGCTATATTATTTTTGTGGACGTAATCAGGCACAATCATGATTGATATTATAAAGTAAAATTTGTTAAGGAACGTTTTGTTGTATGTACCTACTGTTTGCCAACTTTCTTGTATGATATTGGCACAATCGATGTTCTTCCGCGCCTCCTAGTAGATTTAGTGAGTCAATTATACGTTAAAATAACTTCACGTATAGGTACATAATCAGTCAGCACTTGTTACTTCATGATTATACATTTATTACATTATAAGGTCTATAATATTTTTATAGTTATTGTAACTCATGAATGCGCCAGTAAATGTAAAGAAGAAACGAACTATAAGTTAGCTTCTGTGCTGTTAGGAAATATGAACAAATAGCCGCATTTAATTTTTGTTCGCACATCATAAAATGATGTGTGTTGTGCACATTCATGAGTTGTAAAAGTGTTCACCAATTTAAATATGTGCATCGGTGTTCGTCGTATATTGTATTAATTAGACAAAATGCAAATCAGTTTTGCCATACGTTTGATTCCGTCAATATTTTTATACGTAAATTTGAGGATGACGTTACAAAGGAATGATTGTTTACTATATTAGCATATTAAGTAACGCAACTGAATAAATTCCATTATCAATGCTTCCATATACGTTTACCCAGTGAGTATAACTGATTGTTCAATGAGTCATTCATAGGAGGATAAAATTATTTTCAATTGTTCTAACTGTTTACCTATAGAAAAACTAATGACTTGCTTTATATACAATTTAGTCTACTCACTCAAAGACTGATATCAGCTATCTTACTAATATATAATTTAGTAAACAATTATTTTTTTAATGCCAAGTTTACACATAAATGCTAACTTAATTATTTGGTAGAAAAATATTTCTTCAAGCGGGAATAGATATACTAATCCGAACTTTGCGAACCTTCCTGTTTAGGAAATAACATGCTTAGATAACAATAACAAATGAGTAAACGTAACGTCAAAGTCAATTTCGTCCGTTAATAAACTATTACATATTACTATCTAAATGTCACCTTATAATATTTTCAAGATTTTATTCCATTGTTTTATGCAATCGCAATGCTGCGAAACTTCTCTAATTGTGATTGAAGGATAAATAGAGGTTAATATATATAGTGACAATAGATATAGCGCATTAAGAAAGAAATAATATTATATTGAAATTGCCATCTTTCGGCAAGGCCAGTAGAAGGTTCATAGACCATAGTGTTATAACAGTGCCCTCACTAATGAAGTTCACTGACACAAAATGATTGTGCCATCCTTAACAGATTTTCAATATTTTAATATTCCACAAATATAAATATTACTAAGATATCATAATGATACCACGTAACAAATAAAATAGATTGTTTTACAGCAAAACAAATTATTGGTAACATAGGTTAACATAGTAACAAGCAGAACCAACTTGTATATGTACACTTTCCATTAAAACATCGTACGAGAACAGGAAATGTTGTGTCATTTAAATTAATAGATAACTATAAAATTGTTATTATATGACAAATATCGCAAAAATATATGTATATTTTATTGTATAGCGGAATGACTACTATTCAGATTTATTGTAAATGGAAAATGTTATAGATCGAAATATGTTAAATAAGTTAACTGTTTGTAAAAAGAAGAGAAAATATGATGTATAATTGAATATTTGCTACAAGATTGTTTTATTTCATTCTCCTACCAACTTTATTATACTCTTATTACTGAAGAATCAATGAGTCTAGCGATATCATAACCAACAGCTTGATGCTTCAAATGTGTGGAATTACACTAGTGATTAATCTTGGTCGCCAAGACTAAATAAAATAAATTACAAACTAAAACTTTAAGTTGGTCACTGGTTCAAATATTCAAAACGGGTAAACTCTGGTCACCTTAGTGTTCAGGAAGACAAGACGTAGAAACGTCAAACAAACTGCAAGAAAACTCAGTTAATTAGTTCTTCAATTTTAAGTTAGTTATTTATTTAATACGTCCTGTAAATACTCGTACATCACGTAGGGCGGACTGAATGCCCAATTTCTTGCGGGCGAACTTTGGTACATGAAGAACTGTGTGAGGCAGGTTTATGCTTTAAATTAATGAGATAAATAACTTATAATCTGGAACAAAAATCATACTAGAAAAGAAAATATACGGAGGACAACTGCAAAGACCCGTCTGGCCAGCATGGTACAGAGGCCAAAACCTCCTTTCTAAGGAGAGGCCTATGTCCAGCAGAGGACTAGTAAAAGCTGTTGATGATGAAAGATAATATATTAAGTATATAACTTATATTTTAAAACATACAAAAAAATACAGACGAATTGATAACCTCCTCTTTTTTGTTTTGAGTCGGTTAAAAATTTGAAATATCTGAAAATATTTTTTTGATAGATATTTAGGACATATTACACACAACTAAAATCTTTACATAGTTTAAAATAAAGTCACTTTTTTGTGTTGTACGCTTAGATCTTTTAAACTAAGCAACGGATTTTAATGCGGTTTTCTCCAATAGAGAGAGCGATTCAAGAGGAAGGTTTATATATTATGTATAATATAAGCATATAGTACTCGTAGAGAAAAGCCGAGAATTTTAAAGATTTATCGTAAAAAACGTTTTTGTGCGCTTACAATGCAAACGTGTATCTTCTAAGCCTCAGTAACCATTATTATCTTAGAAATATTGCAAAAAAAATAATGAGCTTTTTACGAAGCTATTTTAAACAACACATTATTATTCCTTATCTAATACGTTAGGTAGGTTGTGCATGCAATGTAGATTAAACTGCTTTTTACAGCATTTCAATACAATAAATGTTTTAGAAGATATTAGAGGTTTACAGGCAGGGTATAGCGCCGTCGCCGCGTCGGGCCGTACGTCCGTCCCGCGGAGCAGCGGCCGGCAAAATCGCAGAGGGCCTATAAATATTGCATTTAAAGATGTCCTGTTGTATAGTCTTATCATAATAATAGTATATAATTTGCAACCGTGCGTAGCCGGGGCAGATCGCTAGTTACTTACATATTAAATAACCCACCTCTGGTCGCTCCCGCCGCAAAGGCATAGGCCCATAACGTTAGCTGCGTTCCCACGCTGAATGGTAACGGCCGACCTCTGCTCCAGGAACGATCCCGAGCGGGAGTCTCCAGTCACTTCGTTCAGCTTGCGCCCTAACTCATGTACAAACGCCTTAGCGTCTGTAGCCCAACTGCCCAAGGTCTCCACTGCTATGGGCACGAAATAATAAATGGTCTTCAAAGGCGCACTTTATTCTCTTTGGGAACGGACGGTACGGCATAAGTAGCTAGCGGCAACAGTGCTGACGCAAATTGTGTCGCAGATCAGGCACTTGCCATTCTTCCAAGACACCAGCGGCAGTCCGTCCGGTCTCTTCTCGTCGAATCTGCTCAGACCGGGTGGCTCGAGCCCACAAGGGACATTGGCCGATATAAGAGCTCTACGTACTATGTCATTGAGCACATGACGTCACGGCAACCTCCCCGTGCAACGACAACTCAGAAGGAACGGGTGTCATGTCCCTCCAACACAAAGGGAGGATCCTCCGAAGGTTAATGATGGGAAGTCGTAGGTATATATGCTAATCGGCGAGAGAATTCTTCATATTGCGATACAGGATTAGCAATTCTCATTCAGGAATTACTCCGTAGTTCGGGATCTTTGTTAGATGGCACTGTAGTATGTTTCTGTTTCTTTGTATGTGGGAGTCGCCACAGAGGCCATCGGCTTCAACCACAGGTGCATACATGGGGCTCACACACCCTGTACTCAGGTAGAAGGCTACCGCCACACGTACACACTCCAGACTCGAATAGCGAGATAGCTCGCAGATATATCAGCCCCTGAAGCATGGTCCAACAATCTCTCCTGCATCCCCTTTTTTTTTCCGTGTGGAAATCCCCTCGGATACCACCTACCGGTGGCATGTCGGACTCGAACCGACTAAAACCGCACGCCGTCCCTGGTACTAATAGCCGGGAACCAGGTATACCCTAGAAAGGAAGTCCCTGGTGCCCCGACATACCTCGGGTCATCTACAGACGAGTAGACGACCCCCCCCCCCTGTGGGAACCCCATGTTACCTGTGCTCCCTGGAAGCGAGCGCGCTTGGCAATGCGCTCGTCGCCACCCCGGCCTGCTCCTGCTAGGGTGACAGATGGCCTCACCTGTCACCCCCAGGCCTGCGCTTATGGAGGACGGAGGTCGTTCTGCGACCTCCGGCGCCTGAGTCGCCTGCGGTACCTGGCCCGTTCCCGGGCCTGGCGGGCCGGGAGAGTTCTAAACGTCTCCCGGTCCCGCTCCGCCGTCTCCTTCGCGAGCATAACTTGCTCGCAGAAGGAGACGGCAGAGTTCCACGCACTCTCGCTCCGCACGATAGCCGCAATCAGGCTATCGAGCGAGAGAACTCCCACTCCGATGGCCCGCCACGAGGTCTCGCCCCTGCTCAACCCACGCCGGGCACTCTGCCAGCGTGTGGAGAGCCGTGTCCACGGTCTGGCCATCGCAGTGGTGGCACTCAAGCGTTGGCTCCTTGCGGATCAGACACAGGTGATCCCCGAAACATCCTTTCCCAGTGATCACCTGCGTCAGTCGGTATGAGAGGGTCCCGTGACACCTCTCGAGCCAATCCTCATTAACGGGTCTTACCGCCGCGATGATGACAGACTCTACAACCGATTTTAAAGTTATGTCAAAAGAGGATACTTCCAATTTCGGATGGTTCTTAACAGGTAAGTGATTTTCGTGAGGGTGCAGCACATACAGTAGAACTGACTGATTTCTAGTAGGAGCACATTCCAGAGATCGAACTGGATGGAACAGCTGGACAGCTAAAGAAATATGAACAATACTGGAATTATGTGAAGGACAATAAATGAAGTGATTTGAATAATAAAGTACCCAAGTTAAAGTTCTTATGGAAAGCGCGCTTTCCATACCACCACTGTGGTCGTGTGGTGTTCTAGTCTGTTTGAAATCGGTGCCAAGCCAAATAGGTGCTTGATAGGCATGGTAGAATGTAGCGCGGCAGCTGCAACAGTCTTCATGCTGCGCAAAACATGTTGAACGAGTTAAAGTGGACGCACATCTCCAATTATATTATTATTTTGAATGCTTTAATAAGTAGTTGATAAATTTGCACACGTAATTGATCTGGTTGGTCTTTATTAATTAACAAAATCTTCGATGTTTCATTAGAATTATTTTGAATTCTTAATTTTTCATTGTGCTAATATAAAGCTGACATAGACCAGTATTACTTATTGTGCATCGAGCTTGGCACCGACTTCAAACAGACTAGAAGGGACTATTGGTATTATAATGTTACCTGTTACATTGAGGGTACTTATTATAGTTTTTTACTTAGGTTTGTAATTATTTTTTAATTTTTAGTGCTCTTTGTCGGTTTTGTTTGAAGTCGGTTCAACTTTTTTTTTAAAAGGGTTTATTTTACCATTTTTAGTGTAGGATATGTTTGTAATGAGTAGATAAGTACGATATTTAAAACACTACGTACCGTAATATATAGTAACAAACTGTAGTTTGTTAGATTATAATAAATTACTGCTGGACATAGGCCTCTCCTTGAAAAGTTGACTCACACTAAATTTAAGAGTTTTTCCCAGAACTATTTTAATAAATTAAGTATAAAATTACTTACAAACGAAATTCGATGCCATCCATAGCAACAAAACGTCTATCCGAATTATTTTAACAAGATAGAATTTTTTAAAATTTCAACCTTTTCTTCTTAATACAACGAAAACTACTGTGGTGACATAAATACTGCAAGTTCTCTGCGCATCACATCGCGCAGTCTCTGACGGTTGCCATGGTTTGTTTGGCTAAATACTCTATACTATTACTATATTACTATACTATACTCTATACTATTGTTTGGCTATACTCTTAGCTAAAACACGTTGTCGGGGCTGTCAAATTCCCAATAATTGTGAGGGTTTCCCTCGATTTCTCTAGGATCCCATCATCAGATCCTGAATTGGTGGTAATGGGACCAATTCGGGAGCATACCCTTTCGATTACAAAAAGAATTTTGAAAATCGGTCCACAATTGACGGAGTAATCGCGTAACAAACATACATAAAAAAAAAAATACAGACGAATTGAGAACCTCCTCTTTTGTGTTTTGGAAGTCGTTTAAAAAGGGACGGAAGTGTGTAACAGGAAGCAGAAATGCGCGCGGTATTTGATTTGATCAGTGAGCAATTAACAAACACTTCAGTTCATTCCATTTCAACTCGATAACATTAAACCAATTACAACCTACATATGTATCATAAATAAAATGACGAAATACATATTTAATTTTTATTTTTAAAGCGATCACAACGTAACTAATACTTAACTGGAGAGCATTTTAATAATAAATAGAATAAATAAATATCTTTGTTCATATGTCAGACTTTAGTTCCAGCATCACTTTCTCACCAGGCTTGAAGGCTGGCATACCGAGGTACGGACAAGTAGCGCAGCGGAATGCATCGCCGAGGTAGCACTGGAATGTAATAATAACATAGAAATTTATAAATGCAATACGTCAAGTAAATACTAACCGCGTGGCAATAGGATTCAGACCGTTTTGAAAGTTGTTTTCAATTAGACCCCGACTAATTTTTGGTTTTCATTTCGATTCCGGATGAAATTTAATAAAATCTAGCGGAAATTGAAGGTCATTGACCAAATAATGACCCATTTACAAAGTTAGCATAAACGAGGTCTGGAAGATACTTTTTTTTTATTGCAAATTAACTTTGAAAACCGGCTTTAATTAGTTATGTCGCAATATCTCGGAAATAAGTAGCGAAAAAAGTTATGTTGTATACCTTCAGTTACCGCCAGTCGTGTAAGTTATACCTTCAGCTACCGCCAGATTTCATTAAATTCATTCCAGAATAGAGAAAAACATGTTTTTTGAACCTCTGGCACCCCCGCACTAAATAACTAGTATATCTTGAACTGTCATTGAATAGACTTTTGTGATACAACAGGTCTCAATTTATACTATGTCCCTATAGTTTTATGAAGGCGTTTTACAACTTTTTTTAGCACATTATTTAAATCCATCCATTATTATAATATCCTTTCTTTACATATAACCATTATTATATATTAATGATATACTGCCGTGCATTGTTTTGGCTTAAAGAGACTAAAACGATTCCAACGAATTGAGAACCTCCTCCTTTTTTGAAGTATCTATACAAATAAATAAAATTGGAGTGTCTGTTTGTAATATTAAACCGCTTTTTACTAAATGCATATGTATGTTTACACGGTACATATGCCAAAATACCATTTTTTACAATTTTTGTGTCTGTCTGTCTGTTTGTTCCGGGTAATCTCTGGAACAGCTGGACCGATTTCGACGGGACTTTTACTGGCAGATAGCTGATGACATAAGGAGTAACTTAGGCTACTTTTTTTAGACTAGGTTCGCCCCGTGGCGTTGCCCGCGGTTATAACAACAAACGCGGGTAACACCGCGGGTCTCAGCTAGTTACTTAATAAAATACTTACACTGCCGCAAGAAGATTTGGGTGTATCCTTGGTTTCACCGCGGAGTTCCTCAGCCAAACCGCAAGAACAATCTGCACATGCCTTTCTTTTACCAGTTGTAGCACACACTGGAATAACATATAAGTTATAACAAATGCTACTTATACATTAGAACTAAGTAAACATGCTTCGTCATCCGCTAGCAAAGAAGGTAGAAAATATATTATTTTGTAATGTATTTTAGGGTCGCGTTCCAATGTTAACAAAATCAATTATTGAAATCAATTTCTTGAACGTCTTGTGACACAATGGACTAGCCTAGCTGTCGAGCACTACTCTGATAATAATTTTAACTTGAGCACAAAACAAACGTCCAAGCTTGTATCTCCGTAGTGTAGGCAGAGGCAGACATTCGAGTATATATCAACCATAATTTGGTCAGTCATGTAATAAAGGAAAATCAATGTTTACATATATCATGATACTTTTAACAAAACTATTGTTTTCTTTCACTGACCATAAGTAACCAATATCGATAGCGTAATGAATAGTTAGTAATTGTGTAGGTTGAGAGCAGAATTCATTTTGTGCAGTAGTAAAAAAACTGATATAAAGATATTACTATACTTAACCAAATTCGCTCGCGATAGGGAAAATGGGGAAAAACATAAACTATCAAAATTTTAATAATAATAATAAAACCAAAAAAAGAAACAAATTAATAAGAGTAGATCAGCTATTAATAAAAACTAGTAGTAATCGAGTTTACTTTGTTCAATGAACAAGTACAAACGTATAAAAGAACTGTCTTACAAATTATCGAGGTAAAGCCATTGACCTTCTGTGAATGAAATCATTAGACTTGCAACACAAAACCTCAACTTGCCCCACCGGATTCGGAACACAAAACTTCAACTAGCAATGTCATTTTGCTATCAAGATAACTTATCTATTATATGACGGCATCGTTGATGATAACTAGCGCGGCCTCTATGTTACGCTTCAAAATACTTACGTACACAATTTACGAGTAACGAGTATTATAATTAATTATTCAATTTACGAGTAGTGTATTTTTCAATAGGTAATTTGAAAAATCCTTCACTACTACTTATTATAATGCAGAATTAATCATGATGATTTTTCATTTATACCTATTACTGTACCTAATCTCTACACAGTTGCTTTAAATTTTAAAGTTGGCAACCAAGCTGGCGTAACTTGCATGCTGAAATCTATCCTAATTCGCAAGTATTTTGGCATTGTTTTTCACTGTTTTACACTTTCTTCCATAAATCATTTCAATAAAAAGTACCTCTTAAAGATTGCTGGTCTGGTTTCTTCAAGTCATCTTCGTCTAGGAGCTGGTTGTCGTCTATAGTCTCGTCATCACCACCGCCTCCCCATGCTGCTTCCACCGTATCATCTAATTTCCATATTGCAGGCTTATTGTTTAATTTTAATGAGGCTTTAGAACCAACCTAAAAACAACACATGGAAGTTCTTTAGTGCTATTAGAATTCTTTACTTAAAGGGCATGATTAACTAGCCACTGTAATAGTTTTGTAACAACATTTTTATACATTTTAGATGTTGTATTGGCATACTCAGGTTTGGGTTAACCGTTTTACTATCAACATCAAAGCTGTTAGCCAAACACTAGTTAAGACAGACAGACAGTATCTCTGGGACATGCGTAACCTTCATATTGTATTCATAACAAAATATCCCTTTACTGCGCTGTTCGAGATTGTATTCGGAATCAACATGTTTTAATATTGCAAAGGGTTTTAACTACTTTTTTTAAGGCTGGCTGTCTGCATGATACCAGCCCTCCTTACAAATATTATTTTCAGACCTCTCGTTTTCATCAGAAGACAGAATCATTTACTCTGATAATAATTTTAACTAAAGCATAAAACATACATCCAAGCTTTTATCTCCATAGTGTAGAGGCAGGGACATTTGTATTTGATCAACCATAATTTGGTCACATTCTTGTAATAAAGGAAAATCATATTGCCAAGCTGGCCATCAATTACATCATGATATTTTTAACAATACCATTATTTATCTTCGCTGACCATAAGTAACCAATATCAATAGCTTAATGAGTAGTTAGTTTGCATGTAGGTTGACAGCAGAATAATTCATTTTGTGCAGTAGTTAGAAAACTGAATAGAATATGCATCAGGCTAACAAATACTCATAGGATAAGGAATACTGCAGCTGTTTGAGACTTGGAAAGGATTGAATAACCATGTGTCAAATTCACATACTGAAAATATATGAAAACGAATAGACTATGTAAACTTGCAAACAATTTTGCAATAAGAGTCAAACTTGTCTAGTACTGTACTAGACTTTCACTACCCTACCCTACTAATAGTTTTGAAATACACTTACTTCAAACTTAGGCTTCTCAGCAACATATAAATTATCTGGAGTCTTTGTGACATTTACAAACCCATTTATTGTAAGGGCAGTACATAAATCAGATTCATCTTTCAGTAACACTTTACCATTGGGTTTGAGGAGCTTTACTATCAGTGCTAGAATATTATCTGTGTGCTTCACTGTATGTGGAGATAACCAGTTGGAAACTATCACATCATATGATGAGTGTGGACGGGATGCTAAAATAGAAAGATTTTTATTAACAGGCATTTTGGTTTACAGATTAAAATTATTAAACTGCAATTTTAAATGTTTATGTTAGGAAGGACAAGCAATAGATAAATAAATTTCCCTTTTGTGATGTTTATGGGATAGTTGATATACTGTATCTCTACTTTTGGAACTTTCTATGGCTTACAAGAATTAATTACTCCAATTATACTCCATTATTATATCAGAGCCTAATCCTCCCTCTCCCTTAAACTGGGGAGAGGATGGAAAAAACATAAGATACTTGTGTGTCATGAGCGACACGTGTCATGAGCGGACTTAAAAACTCACCATCAGGTGTCACGTCTAGTCATTTGCCCTCATACCATAAAACAATATCCAGGAAGCAATCACTATATTTTATGGGCCACTGTAACCTCAATAGCTGACATTGTACAAATTCTACTTTACTAGTACAAATTTTACTGTATTGTACATTTTTACATTGCAATTTAAGTTTTGAATTTAGTGCTTAACTATGTACAATTTAAATAAAAACAGTGTAGGTAAGTTTAAATTTATATGGGTGCATAATAATATCTGCAGATGAATTATGCACATAAATAATTTTTAATAATTTATGTAAATATGTTTGTGAAGTATTTAATTACATTGGCAAGGATTAAACTTTGTGGATTTGTTTAGACATAAATGGATATTTAGTTAAGATGATTAATTTGCTCAGCAGTATATCAACAGTTTAATTAACACAGGGCAGGCTCTGCCTAGTTTAGGATCTGACTGCCATATATGAGATGTGTGAAGCTATTATATTTTCCAAGAGTTTTTTTCAGTTATTGTAGTTATCTCAATCACAACTTTCTACATTTCATTGAAAAATACGACTTTTAGTTTAAAAAAGTTATTGAAACTAGCTAGGGCAAAAAGTGCATTTTATAAGTTGTAAAATGATACAATCTACAAGCAGGTCCAAATTGAAAAATGAATGCTAGACTATAATAATATTTGGAAAAAACAATTTCCATGACTAAAAACCCTTTTTTCCCAAACTTAGTTTTTCACAACATGAAGTCAGATTAGGAATTAGCTTAGTACTTGAATTACCTCTGCCACAACACTTATCATTAAAATGCTAAAAACACCTTTATCTGCCAAAATACTGGTAATAAATACAAAATATGTATTATTTCACTACTGAATGTTTACTGATGTCCTTTAGGTTATTTTAAACCAAATTATAACAAATTAAATTTATTTTGAAGTGCAAAATACTTACATTCGGTGATCATTTCTGAGTTTTCTAGAACAACAGTGCCATTCTGAACCATTCCACTGATCTCCTCTACCAGTTTGCTGATGGCACTCTGAACATCATTGTTCCAGATTAGCAGCACATTATCACCAGCTTTAATGTTTTCCATTTTTAAACGTTCACACCAGTTTTACTCCAAGTAAATATTTTCTAAAATCTTTAATAAATGATCGCGGAAAAGCAAAGGTAAGCAACAATAGTTTCTATAATACTAATCTTCGTAATAATAAATGATTGTAGAATTTGAAGTCACGTTCGTATTTTGTTTCTGAAGTTTTAAGAAGGCCAGATAGAATAATTTTGACTTCAAAGAGAATGACGTTGTATCCACAAAGGTTCTTTATTTTGTGTCTCTGTAGCTAGACTGTAAACTGTTTGACAAACACTATGTAGGTATAGGTTAGTCATAAACTCGTAACGATACACCTTGTATTGATTGTATTCTGCACTCCGCAGCGTTTTAGTGATATTCACATAATACTTTTGTATATATAGACTAAAAATCTAAACACGCACGCAAGCCGTTGTAGGTTAAGTCGCAGAGACTTTGGACGTGAAGTCGTGATTATCGTCAACTCGTGAATGAATTAATTATGAGAATATATTTTGTATATGTATAAAGTAGGGATGGCGATCTGAGATTGATTAACCGTAGAATCGATTTTTCGGGTCCAAAAATCGATTTTGTTACTCGAAATATAGCACTGGATCGATATTTCAACCTATAAAATCGACATTCGATTTTTCTGTTTTGATAAAAGCCAAAAAAATATTTACAGCTAGTTGAATGTACTCAACATAAATAATATGTAGAGTATAGAGTACGAATTCAAACGAGTGCTAGCCTTTCATGACTGTGTAAGAGTTCATCACAACAAGTTAATACTAAGTGCCCCGTTGGTGTCGTGAAGAAAAAGCAGTTTTTCACTTAATTTAATTTAAAAGTGATGAAGTATATTATGACTATCGGGGGATCATCTGTGCCTTGTAAGCGCTTTTTCTCGATTGTGGCAACATCGAAAGTGATGTGCAGAACAGCTGGAATCCCAGTAGACTTGACAGACTATTGTTTCCCAAAATCTTAGGCATCAAGCATATAAATTATATATTTTTAATGTAAAAAATAAAGGACAAGGGCAGGCATGTATGGTACTTTTGTACCGCTTTGCGTATCTCATGGTAGGGATTATTATTGTATTTATTTAGCTGCAAATCATCTACAGTTAAAGTTTTAATTACCAGCTTTTTAGATCTTTGGGTTCAAAAGTTATTTCAATTTGTAGTTTACATTTAAACTGTACTGAAGTTGATACCCATGACAGTTTGCTGTCAACCTCAACAAGTTAACGTATCGTAGGTATCATAATATTATAAACACACTATTATGGCTATCTTTGTAAACCTTTCTACTCTCAACGTTTCTAAATAACAAGGATGTTGTTAATGACAGTTAGGGTACTTCTTTTTACATAACGGTCACGATTAATCTAATTGATTTGAACAAAAATTACTAGTCCCTTGCCTTAAATTAATTGATTTGAAATATTTCAAGCCTTTATTACTTCGTCTTATCTGTACAGTCACGTCTAGCAGTAAAGAAATGTTTGTTTTTAGCTGATAAATACATTAGTGAACTCATTCGTAAACAGCGATTTAAACATAGTTTTTTTTTATTTTTATGTAATTTATATTTTATGCATATATGAAGATTAGAAAACGTAGGAATTCGTTTTGTTTACAACACTTAAACGTTTAGTTATTGCAGTTCTAACAAGTTTTTGAGAAGAATTTATATACTTCAAAGAATCTGATAATTGCATAAAAATTTAAGATGATTCACTTTATAAACAGTTTAACCATCCATCATATGACTAGCAGACTTACTTAAAAGAAACAAACTTTCTTAATTTTTCCAACATTTGATTGAAACTAATAATTAAATTTTATTGAAACTATTAATAAAATAATTTTTCGATTCAAACCAGTAGTTCCTAAGATTAGCGCGTTCAACCAAACAAATAAACAAACAATGAAACTCTTAATACTCTACTCTTCAACTTCATGTCAGACGAACCAATGAAATCATTTGAAATATTCTTCTGTTAGTCCTACTGTACCTAGTCAATCAGTGGGTAACACGTAGTTGTGCAAGAAAACAGATTACAAACATTTTTACTAAGAACTGAAGAGAAGAGAAGAGCATATTTTTATCATTTCACCAGTTTGTTTGAGGCTAGATAAAGCGGTAACCGAGTACGTTGGGTTTTCACGTTGGGAACGAAACACGTGCTCCAGGTGAGCGCCACTATATCTTGCCTCCAATGCTTCCAGTAGTTGCTCAAACGTTACCTGCTTACCGAGGGCTTTGAGGACGGTTAAGGCCTGATACCGAGACCCAAGGTAAGCGCAGTCATAACCTGGGCCTTAGTCCAGTCATTCGCCGTCCAAACAGCCTCAAACTGGATCTTGTAGGCTGACCACGAAGATGTTCCATCAAATGGCGGCACTTTAAACCCCATCCCACACCGAAGGAGCAGCAGTTACTGCAGTCACCGTCCCGTTTCCAACTGTGAGGTTCCCTAAAGCCTTCTTTAAGTTGGCAATTTGAGTTTTGGCTTCGCGACGGGCCGGCTCCTCCTTGTCCCGCTGCAGCTATTCTTCCAAGCGGCGGGCCTGCTCCTGGAGCATCATCATTAGGGCCGTGATATCTGGAGCCGCTGACGATGTTGACGGAGTGGCTTCCATTGCTGGCTGACCCTCCAATGTAGGCAGTTGTGTGTCTCCAAATCGCCTCTGGTCAGCCCCTTGCTGGAGCTGGCTTCTCGTACGGATGCCTTCCGTGTCTTCTTGGGTAGAACCGGCATACTTTTATCCCACTTCTGACACCAAATTGTTACGAGCGGGGTATATAATAAATAAAAGTTGTCTCTTAATTACTTTATTGCACTGTATTTACAAACATTCACTATAATAAACTAGAAATCACAATATATATCGTTAGTCGCACTAGAAGTTCACTCCGAAGTTAATTCCCTCTGTCGTAAAACGATACTGTGGCGAACGGATATTTGAATCTTTTGAGAGCTTTTTAATTTTACTAGAAAGACCCCTAGTATTCGATAGTCCGTTCTAGACAAACAAGAATATTCCAGAATAAGTTACTTACAGCGCTTAAGCGCCTAAGATTGTGATCTTAAGTGTGAAAAGTTCTGTGAAAAGTGCTAACTTTTGTCGATACTAGATGGCGCTGTCCTCAACATTCCATACAATCGAACCATTTAGGGTATTTGTCTCGAGGTACATCACTATTAATGTCACTTTGGCATTATGTCGTAAGGCGCACTTGTCAATTTTATTAACTTTTAATCTTGAAGACTTGAACTAATGTTTACGAAAGAAAAAGGAATACAAACGTATAGAAGTTGTACTTTTTAAATATATTACTGAAGTCTTCATTCAGATTTTCTGATAAACAAAAACATGAAATTGCTTTAACTGATCGGTTCATATTAAGTGTAACTAAACGTAAACGCATAAGTTATGCTTGACAGCAATCTAACCTCTAATGAAATATCACCTTATTTTTGTTTAAAAAAATAAATTATGTTTTATGAAGCATTCTTAGCCGGTGTATGGGCGTCTGTAGGAAGTACGCTAGGAAAATTAACAGGAACTGCTAGCGTTGTAGTAAGTCTTTATTTATTTTACATCGTAGGAGGAAAATCGATTATATATTTTGTTTTATTTATGTCAATATTGTCAATATTCATCCACCAGTCAGATACTATGGAGTGTAGAGTAGAGGCAAGAACCATCTTTGCATATGAAAGTTTCCGTAAAAACGCGTCGAATAAGGGTGGCGCTGCGGTAGCTTAGGATAAATTTATATTGGCTTAAATAATAATTTGCCACTGTGTACTAGACTGCGAAAATAATCAATGAGTTATAAAGACAATAAAATTAAATAAACTTGTTGTGAATTATTTTAATATTTTAACTCAACACACTACCAGCGACCTCTATTTTCAGTAAACAGCTGGACACTTTCAACTTTTCCCTCGATTGTTCTCCTTACCTCTACACTCCATATCAGATACAATGAATAGAGGTTTCGTATGTGACCACGAGAGACGCTAGTGGATCAAATGTTACTTTTAGTGATGGCAATTATTACTAGTTTTAAGCAACGTCCTCTAAATTAAAAAATAAATAAATTAAAAATAGTTACTATACTACTACCAGTGACCCTTAAAAATATACCAGCTATTAATCATAGATATAATAGGTACCAGGAAATTGGATTTAACGATCTTAACCATTTTTTTATATGTATAGTATTCATCAATAAGCGTATTACACAAAAAAGCGACAAAGCGTACAAAAAAATAATAGGTTATTTACGAAGCTATTTTAAACAATACATTATTATTCCTTATCTAATTAAATTCGTTAGATACGTTGTGCATTTAACGTAGATTAAAATTGCTCTTTACAGCATATCATTAAAATGAATAATTTAGAAGATATTAAAAGTTTAAAATGCCGTCTACCGTCGAGCCGTACATCCGTTCCGGGTGATAGCGGCCGGTAGGATCGGAGCGGGCCTATAAATATTGGATTTAAAAATGCCCTGTAGTATAGTCCTATCATAATGATAGTATATTAATAACTCCACACTGACACCAAATTAGTAGTATGAGTAGTATTTACATTGCACTCGTGCGAAGCCTGGGCGTATCGTTAAGTATATTATAAACTCGCTGGTACAAGGACTTCGTTCGCGTGGAATTTGAAAGCACTGCCTTAGTGGGTTCAATTCCCGGACCGGGCAAAATTTTAAAGGGTTTTTCTGAGAGGAAAAATAGCCTGGTAGTAAAATATTATCAAAATCGGTACAGCCGTTTGAAAATTGCCCGGAACAAACAGACAGCCAGACCAAAAAAACGACACTTCAATTTTATTTATTTGTATACATGTTAAAGTGAGTTTGTTTGTTAAGCTTGTTCTATAAATAACACAATATTTACTTTTTGAGATTTAAGTGACAATTTTTTTTGTTATTTTCCATACCATGAGAGTTTGTTAGAACTATAACTTAAACTTTGTTCTAATTCCTACCAAAGAAAGCTCATACTATTAAACATCTGATCTTAAACTATTATTTCGTATGATATTGTACCGTTAAGGAAAATTGGACTATTTTCTGTAGCTGTTTTTCGTTTCTGAAATGAACAGGGATCGTATGCCTCGGATTACGTATCTCAAGTTTGTTACACGTGGGCTCATATTTTCGTAGTACGAAAACAAGAATGAGGTTTGCCAAAAATAAAGCCATGTCGTAAAAGGCCCAGGTGTTGCTGGTGTAGTTTTTAGATTGGTTTCTGAAATATTATAAGATAGCCACATATGGTTCGGTAATAAAACCGGCACGGAAAATAAACTACAATAATTCAAATAAACTTGATATCGACCGGAGCTGATGACCTATGTATGTATTTGTGGTATTGCTTTCATTCTATTTGGGCATCAACCTTCTTTCTAAGAAGAGACCGATGTCCAGCAGTGGACTAATAAAGGCTCTTGATGATAATTATGATGGACATTCATTTTCTCATTGATTACAATAACAACTAATAAATAAAGAGTCTACAAATTCATTCAATTTATTCGGATTTACTGTTTGTCTGTATTACTTTGGTATTTAGAGTTCCGTAGTGGTAACAAATAAACTTTATAGTTTTGCTATGCTATGGCCATCTGCCTGACTTTGTTGTCTGAATTTTTCATGGACATTCAGTCAGACAGTCATTCTTTCAGTCATTCAGACAGTCGCCAAAAAACTGGTAACTTAGGTCTTAAAGATGAATTAAGGGAAACTCCCGTATGACTAAAGGGGGGATAATTTATAAGGCGTGCCATGATGTATTTAAAATTAAAATGTTTTGCTACAGGTAAGTTGGATAAATATTCCGTGGATTGAAGTTGATTAAGAAAAACAATGATTTAATTAAAAATTAGTTATTCTAAGAACAAAGTTTAAGACAGAGACGGCATGATTTTCATTTCACATTTTCAACTATTACATATTATTTACATTACATTATCACATATTAAAGCCAATTACGAAAACGAAAGTTTATGCATTATTAAGTTAAACCTTATAAATTATCCTTATAAATTACTTAGTCTCGATGAAAACTGTATGAAATTCCCTTTGTCAATGTTTCAGTTTATCAAGTTCATAAAGACGGGCGGGGGAATTTCGTACATAAATTATTTAAAGCTGGGCAGATCGCCTTATGGTAACTACTTTACCAATTTTTTTCTTTACCCACGCCTTATTCCGAACTCAGCTCAAACGATACGTAACTTTGTAGGTGATATATCTACATATCTGTGTAATTATTATAAATAGGACGACAGTTACACCATATGGGTTGCCTTACTGCTGACGATGGTGATGGCAAACACGTGGGGCTGCAGACACTATCTTCGCTCTCTCGATGCTGCATCCAACTCCGTTGCGCCTACCGTCATTTCAGCTGCCTCTAGTTATGTTCTTTCAGTAAGTGAAGCTTTCACAATATATTTTTTATAGTATTTAACTACTACTTAAAGAGTGCTAGCTAATTTAGCCAATCAGGTCGCATTGTCGAAAAGATGGTCATTATAAAATATCTATACTACGAGTAAAGAATAAATTAAAAAATCTTTACTTCTAGTATTTTATACTTATACCCTATTTTTCTTTGACAGGGCTTAGTTGGTATAATGCTGTTTGAAGAGGCTTCATCGATTAAGTGGTGGGTAGGCGCTATGATGATCATTTTTGGACTGGCCTTAGTAGCGCGACCCCGGGATAAGCTCAAGGCGAAATGAAAGTAAAATTCCTCGTAAGCTATTGATTAAAAAATGAGAGATGTGGAGGTTAATACTAATAAATAAATTAGATATTGCATAAATATTTGTCGTACTTGATCAATGTTAAATAAATTCAGGAAAAAACGCAAATAATTAGGCAAACAACTTCGAAAAGATTCACGAATTGCGAATTAGGACAGTCGAAAACTAAGTAAAAAATCTACTAAGGGCCATGAGTTTTTTGTGTTAAAAACAAGGTTGCTAGCGGCTACGAATCAGCGATTTTCGTAACGATTCTTTACTTTATTTCTGACGTTTTCGTAATTTTTCTTTATCTTTTTTATTTGTATTTCCTTAGTGGTTACAGTATGATTATATTAAAATTATTATAACCAATCAAAATACCTGTAGAACATTATGAATTTCTCCTTTTAATCTATGGTGTGAATAAATCACATCAGAGCTGCCAGAGATCAAAATAGTATTTAAGTTTTTGATGAATTTAAATACCGCCAGTAATGTTATATTTAAAAGAAAACTAAATAACATAAAAGTTCATAAAAGTTGAGGCAGAAGTCACAGGTTCGATTAATTAATACATTATGTAAGGAAAAATTGTTGAGAGACATGTAAACATGTTTTAATTCTCTTCAGACCAATTTTCCCACTCAATTCTTCCAATCTTGAGCCAAAGAGCGATTTGGTAAACATGTCCGCCAGTTGTCTGATGGATGATACTTGTTTAACTTCAAGTTCACCGTTGTTTACACATTCACGCACAAACAGGTGCTTCAACTTAATATGCTTGGTCCGCCTATGGTACTCATATTTAGGATTGTGTGGAAGTTTTATAGCTGATTCATTATCTAGATAGAGCACAGGTTTCTGAAAGTTGGCAAGTCTTTCAATAGGCTGTTAGCCAGTTTCACTGGCAACCATTATCTCTACTTCAGTTGACGACAATGATACCATAGTTTGGATTGTCCTCTGAGTCTGGTATATAAGCAAGGGTCTGCTTCACTTTGTTGAAAGCCAGAACGTTTCTCTTTTTTCGTTTTTCTTTTTATGGAAGAGAGGGCAGACGAGCTGACGGGTCACCTGATGTAAAGTGACGACCGCTGACCATGAACGCCTGTAACTCAGGAGTTACAAACGCGTCGCCGGCCTTTTAGGAAGGAGTACGCTCTTTTCTGAAGGTCATATCAGTTCAGAGATACCGCAGAAGGTAAATTGTTCCACAGATTAGTTGTACGCGGCAAGAAGAGTCTTGAAATGCGCACAGTGGTGGAGCGCAAAAGCAATTTTTAAAATCATTGAAATGGCTTCATTCGGTGCGTTCTCGGCATTCTTAATATTACGGTCAGTTTATGATACATTCCTTTTAAATCGCATACAATGCTATTATTTTGTATGAAATTATTTTAGTAATTTATTAAAAGGTAAATATCAAATTAAACTTATTTATTAGTAAAATATGTTACCAGAGTCAAAGGATTTAATATTTTCTTACTATTGTTTTCTATACGTAATTAGGTGGTTCGTTTAAATCGTGTTTTTTTTTATTTGAAAATGGAAAAATTCAATACAGGTGTTTCGAAACAAATAATAAAACTTGTTTTAAACTATTCATGTATATCCGAGTGTTGACGGATTAAGAATACAGAGTGTCACTACCCTTATTCATCCCATGAGTATCGTAAGAGCCGACTAAGGGGACAAACTTTGCAGGAAAACAGCACTGCAAAGATAAGGCAAACTTGTCACAATCCCTATACCAACCCGTCTGGTCAGCGTGGTATAGTAGGCCAAGACCTCCATTTAAGGAGAAGGCGATATCCAGTAGTGGACTATTAAAGGTTGTTTCTGACGATGATGATGATGTATATTAAAATAAGCACTAAGGTTGGGTTTTTATGTCTTGTATATACACTTTTTTGGGTTAGATGCTCCGTTGGTATATAGTAAAAAGTCCCTTAAAATATGTTAGTGACAAGGGATAAAGATCAATTTTTATTAATAACACATTTGTAGGTAAAAGTGCCTAAAAGACTCACACAACTTATACTAACTTTAAGCAATCAAGCTGTGACAATCGCCAGTGGAAAGTTTCGCAACGTCAGGCAATTTAAATGTATGAAATGCCTATTACGTAATCATTTCAATCCTATATGTGTACATATTACGTAAACACAACCTAGACATATAGATTATACCACCGAAGCACTTTTTCAAGGTTACGGTAGTTTTGCAAAAAAATAAGACCAAGTAATAAACGGATTTCGTATATTAGCGCACGTGTGGAAAGAAACATTGTTCATAAAGAAATACAGATAACCTTCTCGCGAAGACAACGAGAATGAACGATACATGATATATCTATCTCAGATGGATTAACGGCTTGTATAAAAGACAAAACGTGAAAGAACTATTTTCCTACCTAAGTACCTATAATTTGTACAAATAAAGTATTCATATGTTAAACTGAACCTATATATAATTTATATTAATAATATACTATAAAAAATAATTAATATATAATAAAAATAATGTACTATAATATAATATTAAATAAATTCAATTAATACGTGACCCATAAAATAGCTACTTAGCTCTATTTACTAAAATACATTTCAATATGCTTAATGGATGATAGAATGTTTGCTTTATTCTCCTAATTTTGCGGTCCCCGATAGGGTCCATGATTGTTACTTTTTACATTTATAAGACCTATGTATACATTATGGAGTGTAATAAACGAATTGAATTGAAGTTTCATTTATTATATTTCTATAATAGACCAGCAACGCATTTCGGTGTCACAAGTTGTAACTCTGAGTTGCAGTTTGAAGTGAGTGGCGGTAGACACTTAACCATAGCTGACCCATCTGTTAGTTTGCTCCCTTATATCATGAGGTACAAATACCTTATATCTACTGAAACAATAAAAAAAACAGATCTCTAAAAATTCAAGTATATAGTTGTTGTTTTAACTTTAAGCACATTTGCTGTACCGGTAGCCGGAGAAGAAAAGAATCAAAGCAAAAGTGAAAATTCCTTCACAACCCTTAACAATATTTGAAGCTCTAGCAATGCCGAATATTTAGCAAACGCATTACCGAAGTAAAAATAATATTTTTATAGTCCATATGGGATGCAGTTAGTGAGGTCCTTTAAAAAATATTTATTTTAAGACCTCACTAACTGGGATAGATAACTAAAAATGGTTTGAAAAATATGTACACGTACTAAAGCCAAATTACAGCTTTCTAGGTTTCAGCGCGGTCGGACAGATCTGACAATACTAAAATTATAAATTGTTTACTTCCAAAATTTTGGTACCATTTGTGTCCGTAAATTGTCTTCGACACTTTAAATATCCTAATATCTAGTTCTAGTGTGGGATCAAACCCTATATCTTACATATTTTGAGACAAAAAATAATTAAATTATTAATACTAATATAATTACAACAGTGACTAATTCCTTACATACATCAACAAATAAAATAGTACAAATAAGCAGGCCTTGTATGATAATAAAAAAACTTATGATGTACAAATTAGCATTTCATGTTGTCTCATCAATTATAAAAAAAATCCATTAGGATAATTAGCCGTGGGAGCGACGCTTCTGCACACGTCATGGGCCGGCTCGATTGGACTTATACAACGACCTTGCAGAAAACCAGTGTTAAGCTATTCACAGAGTCAGTTAGGTTACTTGAGCCCAACCTCTTCCCCTGAATCTAGAGGGTAGGACCCAAAAGGCGAAAACGGAATTTGAGATGAAATAACTAGTATGGATATGAACATATCCCGGGATTCCGGTAATTGATTTCGGTAAGGCTTAAAATAACCTAATCTTAACCTCCTTTCTAAGAAGAGGCCCATGTCCAGCAGTGGACTGCTAAAGGCTGTGGTTAATGATGATGATGAAGGCTTAAAAATATTTGATATTATTTAAATGTGTGGAAATAGCGTTTGTTTAAGGAATACGTTTTAATACGGAATACGTTTGTTAGTATTACTCGTAAGCGTTTAGATTCAAACAGTAGAGACTTCTATTATACGAGGGCGGGTCAATAAGTCCGTGACTTTTTGAATTTCTGACCTCTTTACTGAAAAAGCAACACTACTCCTGTCAACAGGCATCTGTCAGTTGACTCCTGTCAATATTTGAACTTGCTGCGTCAGTTAGTTTGTGTTTGACAGCTATCTTTATCAGACTACCCAGTAATTTGAGGAAAAAATGGAAAAAGTGAATTTCGTGTGCTTATTAAGCATTATTTTTTGCGAAAAAAACCATTACCGAGACCAAGGCTAAGCTTGATAAATACTATGGGGACTCTGCACCATCGATTTCAATGGTAAAAAAGTGAAAAAATTCACGATATGGTGTTGGCCGACCGAAGATTAAAAGTGCAAGAGATTGTGGAAGCCGTAGGGATCTCGCATGGCTCAGTGGTTTCAATTTTGAATGATCACTTGGGCATGAGAAAGCTTTCTGCAAGATGGGTGCCGCGATTGCTCACAGTCGACCACAAACGCAATCGTGTAACAACTTCACAGGAAGGTTTGGCGTTGTTTAATCACAATATGGAGGAGTTTTTGCGCCGTTTTGTAACCGTGGACGAAACATGGATCCATCACAACACACCAGAGACCAAACAACAGTCAAAACAGTGGGTTTCTAAGGGTGAATCGGCGCCAAAGAAGGCCAAGGTGGGTTTGTCAGGCAATAAAGTTATTGCGACTGTCTTTTGGGATGCACGCGGGATAATCCACATTGACTTCCTTCAAAAGGGAAGAACAATCAATGGGGAATATTATACCAACTTATTGGACCGATTCAATGACGATTTGAAAAAAAACCGACCTCATTTGGCCAAGAAAAAAGTTCTTTTCCACCAAGACAATGCAAGGGTGCACACATGTGCAGTTGCCATGGCAAAAATCTATGAATTGGGCTATGAATTGCTCCCTCATCCGCCCTATTCTCCAGATTTGGCTCCGAGTGACTACTTCTTGTTCCCAAACCTGAAGAAATGGCTTGGTGGAAAAAGATTTGACTCCAATGATGAAGTCATCTCACAAACAAAGGCCTATTTTGACCTGGACCTCGACAAATCATATTTTTTGGAAGGGATAAAAAAATTGGAGAAGCGTTGGACAAAGTGTATAGAGCTCAAGGGAGACTACGTTGAAAAATAAAATTATTTATTTATCAAAAAATCTGTGTTTTATTGCAAAAGTCACGGACTTATTGACCCGCCCTCGTATATTGGTCTATTGCTGAAATACTCTATTGGTCTAATTCATTCGAATTCGAAGTTAACGTACACAACATTTAGCTATTGCTGGTAGGCGATTAAAATCATTTTTTTCCTGCTATTAAACATGTGACATGTTTGGCTCATTCATGGTAGACTGGAATATCCAGACGTTGACGTTTTAAAAAGTATTTTTATAGGCAAGGCCCCAAATAAAAGTATGAACTTTAAAACAAAGACTGATTTGCCGCACCTGTTTAGAGGCAGCATCGTACTACGCCAAACATTTCACTCAAATAAAAGACGTGCTTTCCCTTTTAAACAGTTTAGAATCCTTATGATAGCGGCGTTGTATAGTAGGCCTAAACTTCCTTCCTATGGAGAGGCATATGTCCAGCAGTGGACTATTAAAGTCTGTTGATGATGAAAGAAAACTTAGAAGCAAAGTTAAAAGAAATTGAAAATTATTAAAGAATTATAAAATTATCAATACTTGAATTAGAAAAAAGTTGTATAACGATCAGTGACGCATTTCTAGCATTCGATAATATAAGCACTCAATTGAATTAGAAAGCATCTGAAAGCATAAATAAAATTTAAAAAAAAAGTTATGGTAAGGAATCCTGACTTAGAAATTATTCGAGATTATTCTAAAAAATTAGAAAAAGGGCTGGATATAGATGACCATGACATAAAGTATTACAAATTTGCACCATGCAAATTTAACGTCTGCTGAGACACAGACTAAGTGTCGAAAATATAGAAAAATCATGGTTATCTATTTTGATGCCGCTAATCGTTGCCAACCTTCCTATGAACAATCTTTGGATATCTGAAACTAAAGTAGCAGCACGCTATGATGGCTGTTTTTGACGTCTGTCCACTCATCATGTTTCGTATTTATTAATACTTACATTGACCGCCGTCAAACAGCTGTCTTTAATGTGTGAAAACAGCCATCATAGCGTACCGCTACTTTAAGTAGTTTTGATAAAGTTTTTCATCGAAAGTTTACCTACTACACAATACCTTGACAAAAGTCAACCCAAATTTGTTTGAATTTGTTCTAGGCCAAACCGATGTATTCTACATTAAGCATGTCAAGATATACTAGTACAGCTTAGAAAATCTAGTCAATAAACCGGTTTTGGCTTAAACAAATTAGTTTGGCTTGATATTGGGTTCGACGAGTAACATTATAATGTTTTAGATTGTTTATTGTTATTGTTGGTTTTTGCAAAAAAAAGAAATGGACCTGTTATGCTACTCATATAACTTTTTTATAAAAATAAACTTTAAGTACCTATTCAATTATTGTTTCATTTACTTATGAAAAAATCCTGACATATATATTTTTATGTCGTGAAGTATGAATTATATAGAAAAAAGCATTGTATCGAAGCACAAGAATCATTATCATTCAGAATTCTTCTCGGTTTTTTTTTGTCAAAGTACCGATTCCCGGCAATTTTTGGGCATATCCATACCCAAGCACGATCTATAGTTATTATATCACCATCAGGTGACCCGTCTGCTTGTTTGCCCACCTATATCATAAAAAAATAAATGCACAATGTTATTTTCTGCTCTTTCACAACCTATCCAACAAAAAAACTCTACAAATTCAAAACAATGTTTACTTTTGCCTAAACAGTGTACAACAGCAGTCCTAACATACTGCCTAAATGGTCCAATAGATTTTAATCTTTAAAAGTACCTAATTTAAATAGCTTTTATAAAAAGCCTTTATATGTTGCAATTCTATTGCACCTAATAATATGAAGTTTTAAGTTTTATTCAGTCTCGTCAGATACTTTCTTAAATTGGTATAGTTAACAAATTTTCGCGGTTCTCAAGTGTCCCTGCGTATTTCGTCCGCCTAGCTGCCCATCAGCGCGGCACTCAACAACCACTACGAGCTGCTACGAGTACTAGAGCATCTCTGTATCGATAAAATTTATCGTTGGATTGGAATTTAACTTACATGAAAATTAAGCCACTCTGACTGACGAATAATTTTTGTTCTAAATATTGATATTTGGGGTTTTATTATATATTTTTCAAAAAGTGAGTCCTACATTATATATGAATGTATTCCGTTTTTTTAACAGCAGCTAAACTTATTGGTCCTAGGCTTCACTAGTTCCTGACAAGAACGTCATGAATATTTATTTGTTAATTATATGTATATATGTCTGTGAAATTACGCTATACAGTTGGTGCTTTGTACTTCTATAATCTGTCAAAAAAATTGTCTACTTCAGTCTTTACTTTATCTATATCAAAGTATAAGACACTAAATCAATCCTCAAAATAACATCAATCCATGCATAAAAAGTATTTTTTCAGTGCTTCTACTGCTTCTTAGAAGAAAAGAAACTCAGGTAAGTTTTTTATAACTATTCAATATTGTGTGACAATCAAGGTAAGACACATTGCTTGTTAGCTAGAACTAGCAATTCAAGTAACTACATGCCATAGACAGCTTTACGATACAATGTATTCACACAACGAATAATGCAGGAAAGGACATGACATGCTCAAAATAGATACTTTCAAATAAATTTCTAACATTCGATATTTGCACATAAAATTTCATTATCTGAAAAATAAATACCGTAATGTAGACATCGACACAAATAAAATGACAACGTAGACGTCACTATGTGGTTTTTATAGACGCAATGACGCCGACCGAGCTTGGCGAGCGGTCGACGCGGCAGTAGCGCGCCGCGATCCAGTGGTACTGCACGCGTGCTTCCATGTTGTTTTTACACGATTTCAGCGTATCCACACATCGCGACTTACTTGAAAGAAAACGATCGATAAAACAGATCACGATAAACACTTAAAACGTCTGCCAACTCACAGATTAAAACGATCCGTGCTCATCCTTATTATCACATTCGACTTTTTTATGTAACTGATTTTAGATGGCAACAATGTAGTCATAGTGACGTGATCGTGTTGACAATTTGACAGTTAAATGTGACGCTAAAATGCCGTTGATTTTAAAAAAATCATTTTTACTGAGTTGTGTGTTAATTGTTATTTATGACTAAAATGACGACAATAATTTTGTTGGTCTGAATAGTTTGTATAATCTACCACAATGGGCAATGGAATGAACAAGGTAAGGAGTTATTTTAATTAGAATGTTTAAATTCTTTTAAGGTTTATATGGTCGAAATTCTATGCAAGCCGCGAATGTTACGTAACGTCAACGTAGACTCGTAGCAGTCGCACCTCGTAGCGGTAGCGTCGGAAGAAAACTTTGCTCTACGTTCTGTTCTGATGTTTTTGGCGAATACGTAAAACAAATATATTTCTTATTTAGGCATTTAAAACTATAGTTACTTATATTATTATTGCCACAGAGCATAGCTGTTTAATAAGTAAGTAAAAAAAAAACTGAGAACTCAAACATTATAGTAGTTAGATCTTTATAGCAGGACAGTTCTAACATACATTTTAAAAGAGCATGTTCTCCATTCCCCATATTTCCGGCACCTCTAAGCCCATTTACATAATTCTTATTTAGATCGAATCCTAAACTTCCTTTCGAAGACGTCCCTTTTATTACTTTGACGAATAATTTGTAGGATTTATTTACCGCAGATTCCAAAGTTATCACGAGGTATTCAATTTCTGATACCTAAAATACATTTTCAGTGCTGAGACGATGTAATTTTTTTGTATTAACGTATTTGATGCCATATGTTCAAGACATTTTTGCGTAAAATGCTTTTAGAATATTAATTTAAAGAAAGGTTATAAAAGCTCGCTAATACTCTGTTGGAACTGAGTAGTGGACAAAAAACATAAAAAAATGAAACATTATTTTTTATAAAATGAACATAGAAAAGGGGAAAGTTCTTTGGCTGTAAAACGGGCATAAAAGCAGAGGTCATATGTAAAACACAAATATACATTTCTATGGCTCTTGAAATTGGCAATGAGCCTAGAATCAATACTCTAGATCATAAGTCGACTTTTGTGAGGCTGCTATCCTTGCCGGAGTAATTTTTTTTTTTTCACTGAAGGAAGGTAAAGATGTTTTTCCTATTTTATGAATATATTTTATTTTACGACTTTATACACTTCTATACATCGGCAGACTTAATGCCCAGGGCATTCTGTACCAGCCAACCTTTGGGTGGTATAAAAATCTGGTGAGGTAGGTGTACTGTAGCATAACAAACAGCAGAACAAATAATTATACATATACATCAATATTTTTATGCGGATATCAGAGCAAAGATCGCGTCCCTATCTTTTTGTAATCTCTGTATGGTCGGAACAAAGTAACTTCGAGATGGTATGGCACAACATATCGTGGCTTGTGTGTAACCGAGTAGGTTAGCACATTGCACATTGCGGGTTAGTCTGTGGATGGGTGACCATTCTGAACACATTAAGACTCCTCCGTGCCTCGGAGAACACGTTAAGACGTCGGTTTCGGTTGCCAAACGAACATCTGTGGCAATCGTCACAGGTTGTTGGAGCCCTAAAAAGTCCGACAGCAAGATTTTTAAATCGGCTTGTACTAGGGTTCTAGAGATCTCATAGCATTCGCTCCACATAATAAGTAGAGGGATAAACCGTGTTGTAGTAGACTGAAAGCCGACCCCAAACTAGTTTGGGAAAAGACTAGGAGTATGGTGATGGCACAAGCTTCGAAAATAAGCATGTAGAAACTGTTATAGGTATAATTGACTGCACGGATGGCGTAGTGGTTTAAGCGGTCGCCACGCCGCTTCCTACTACGCCGAGTGTTGTGGGTTCAAACCCCACATGGGACGACACTTTGTGTGATCCACAAATTGTTGTTCTAAGTCTGGGTGTTCTTTGTGTCCGTTTCATGTATGTTTGTAAAGTCCCCCGCGACACAGGATTTATTCCTAATGCGGGTAGTGTCTTTTTAAAAAAAAAAATAAAAAATACTTGTACATAGACAACAAAGCTTAGAAAGTAAAAATTAATTGAGATAAAAGAGATACTTTGACATAAGAATTAAGAAATCATTCTTACGTAGGTTGTACAATCGTTAAGGTCTGAAATAAGGCTGAACAAGCGTAGCCTGAACTTATGGAGAATGCTCTTTATTTGATGTAAAATACAGGTAGGTTACAGGATAAATTTAGTGCAAGCATCAAAGACATATTACACTTTCTGCCACAGCTGTTATCTTTTTTTCAGTAGAAAATATTTTTAACTACTTATTAAGATATTTATAAAGAAAATATTAGATACATAACTCATTAACCAGAAACTAAATTTACAATTTATCATAAACTTAGCTACGTTTCAGAGTTTGAGCTATTCATTAGACGCTGCCAAAGTTTCACAAAGATTTTTAACTAACTATTTTTTGTACATAAATCGATTTTAAAAATTCGGTAACCAATTGAAAGAATACATTATATTTCAGCGAGTAACACAGGCTACTTTTTAACCGCGACATATACGCGGGCGGAATCGCCAGCAAAAGCTAGTAGCTTATAATTTTGCATAATATAATACATTTCCAATCATATTTTTGCGTTTTTAGACTGAAAAAATAAGTAAAATAAATAAACTTAATATATCTTAAAGAATTTAGAAAGAAAATTAGCATGTTTTTTTTAAGTTAATTTAATAATAAAGTAAATATCTCCACACTTATAAAATGTACGTTGGCAAATTTTGTACGAACTACAAAACTGTTTAAAAAAATACTAAAATGAAGTCTTTGTAGAACGCGAAATAACAAACTACGGAAACCTACACACACTGCGCATGGCCTGACTCACACTTGACTGGGTTTATTCACATGTTTAATTACTACCAAGAGCGATAAGTATCGTCCTATTCTAAAAGCTATTGGTTCACTCGGACATTAGCAAAGTGAACCCATAGCTGGTACAATTCTGACTAGTTTTAGCCTTCAGCATCAAACCGCAAGGGCTACGACGATGAATTTTTTAACAGTACGCTTTTTATTCGAGCTTAGATAACACATTTTTTGTTGACACATGAATAAGGAGGATATTATAAGAAAGAAATATACTATCCAAGAATCTGTTTGCCGTTTATTTTATAAAATAACAATGAGCTAGAGGATTATAGATAAGTAAATATTTAACATTTTATTCATTTATGTCTTACGTAATATCAGTCTTATTACTCAGTATCATGTAAACAACAAATTTATTGTCGCCTCCTTCAGCGTTAAATAAAAACGAAATACGAAGAGAAAACTACATACTTATCGAACTTTCCACCATTTGATCGAAGAATTGAGATGTTTGCAAGGCTTTTCAAATGGCTAGCGTTTGTGGTCCTTATAACAGGAGAATAGCCCGCGTTTCGTATTAGGATGATTTGTATTCATATTTGATACCTGTATTGCAAATGTGTTGTAAATAACAACTAATTTAGGCGTCGACTGATAAAGAATATTTTTTTCTGACTGTCATCTAATTTCAAACTCAGCAGAGCTTGTTCAATGAAAGTTAGATTGACTGACAGAATACTTATTAACTTTTTTTTTTGAGAACACCCGAACTCCGAAACAAATATTTGCAAATCATACCAACATTTGGTCCGACCCGGTAATTGAACCCGAGACCTCAGCACAGCAGTCGCATACGCAGGCAGTCAAATAAATACAACAAATATATTTTTGTAAATTGTATTAAGAATGCTTAATACGTGATATTATGTGATGTAATCGTCATTTAAAAGAGACTAGAAATTTATTTTACTAGGTGTGTTTTTTTTTTGTATCAGTGTATATTTAGAATAATTCAAGTTGTTAGTTACTATAAAGTAGGCGATTAGCGTGTGACAATTCTGATACAATACCAGTACTAGGTATTCTTAGCATCAAAACACTAATACACAATTATTTACACTAATACTCATTTTGTATAGTAAAATAGTGTAGCCGCTTTTCTTATCAGGCGGACTACTCACCGGCTGACCCAGTGGAGAGATTCACAAGATTACCTCAGGGCGCCTTTTATTAAACAGAAGTGTGTGCGTGTGGGATACCTATGGGACCCCTTAGAGAAAAACAACTTACACCTCAGTCATACATACATGTATATTAAAAAAACAAAATTAAGGTTACAATAAAAAAAAACAGAGGGTATAAGAAAAAACCGCAGCGGAGCGCGTCAGAGCCGAGCTGATGGTGCTCGGTGCCTCCTCGTCTTCACTCCAGGAGGTTACTTCCTCTTCCGCCCGAGTCGGCTATTTATATTAGATATTGATAAAAGTTCAACAATTTGCATTTATAAGTTTATAAGTAAGTACGTAACCCTTGGGTACGGCTGTCCGCTTGCGTCGTGACCGCGCAATCACCAGCTTGCCAGAGGGTATCGAGAAACTTGAGTCTGAACCAGAAGGCCACAAACGAGCAAGCACGCCGTCTGAGACTGACCGTCTTGACCCCGAAATCTGGGACCCTACGAATGGATTAGCACTCATATAATTAATCAGGTCCCAGAAACAAATAGGTAAAAAAATTAAGACCATATTCACCACTCTCGTGGGTACTTTTGAACAGATAATATATTACGAAAATCAAATCACACAACAATCAAAACACTATTTAAGATAGGAAGACACGAGATAGCAGAGTGTCTCCCGTGGCTGAAAGCCGGACTTATATATCTTCGGTTCCCGAAGCTTCCAGAAATTACCCCTACTCAACATTCTACTTTGACATTTAAATTGTGAACGAAGACAACACTAACAAAATCAAAAGTAACTTGCTTTCTACCATAACAAAACACTCTTAATACCTATACAATTTGTCATGATAAATCAATAAACTGACTTATCAAGAAACAAACGCCATCTAGTGGTCCGACAGTGAACGAAGAAGATCAATACTGTAGTTATAAACTACTTTAGATAAATCAACAACACTGCGACGCGGCCAATAGGTGTCGCTTTTAACAAGACCGTACGTACGACGACGACCGTACGTTTTAGTATATTTGTACGTACGTACAAATATACTAAAAAAATAACTGTTACACCACCCCCTCCCTCAAAGTATTCCCTGCGTAGTGTGCGCAGGGAATATCCTCAACAGGGCCAAAATCCATATAAATGGTTTTACGAACCCCGTGGTTTAGGAAA